GGCTCCTCCCCACGCAGGCATGGCCGAAGGCCTCTTCTTCACGAACACCACCTTTCCCTCCCCCCACCGGCATGGAGAAGGCCTCCTTTCCCCGAGAGAGGTGCCGGGGTTCCCGCCTCGGGGGAGGAGGCCTTCCCCCGGCCCTCAGGAGCTCCCACTATTTTCCTCAACAGGAGGCATCAAGTATCTCCTGTCAACTCCCTCCAAGGAGGCTGTCAGGGTATTATTCTCCATTTTCTTCTTGCAACAGTAAAATACCCATTTAAAAGTTCAAAAGGCCAAAGGAGCCTGGTAAGCGTAAAGCAAAAGAAGCGATGCTGGTGTTGAGGAGTGTGTTCATGCACAGTTTTGCCCTCCATACCAAAATTACATCCATTAAAAATGCAAATAGCCAATGGAAGTTTCAGTTACATTTCCACATTGCCAGCTTTTGCTTACATAAGCAACACTGATATTCTCGAAGCATGCATTGAACAGACATGGGAGAGGTTTGGTAATCACGATTTTATTTACTCAGTTTCAGACTAGACAGTGCTAATACAGAAAGTACTATGTTTTACTGCAATCACAGTGCCCAAATCTGGAAATGGGCATGAGACATCAGGACAGTACCTATACATCCCCGGCAGAAGTTTACAGAAAAATTTTATGCAGAGAAGACATGGTAAGTCTGTTACTTTGTCATTTGCCTATCTAAGCATTCACACAGTGACACCGATTATATCTTACACCCCTCTGTACATCAAGAGGAAAAAAAAAAAAAAAAAACACGCCATACAGAAGACAAGCCAAAGTTTTGTTGTTTGACATCTTCCAGGTTATCAAGTTTTCCTTGTCCCCCACAGACTACCTACAGGGGTTGCCAAGTACCATAAAGGTAAGTTAAGTACTCTAAACCTTACAAGAGCTTCCAGTTTTGCAGATTGTCAAAGCTGAGAGGGGGGTGAGGGGAAGAGGCCAAGTCTGTTCATCTGGGGTTTAATAGACAAAACCATAAACAAATGTGCTAGGACTCACAAGAGACTTCCTGATTTCACTGGACATGAGACCAAAGCCTTGATAAGCAACAAACCAGTCAAAAAAGTAATTTAAAAACCCTTGGAACTATCTAACTAAAATGAATTCTTTAAAATCTGTTGGTTATACCTAACCAGTTCACGTATGATGATTACTAGACATAGAAAGAAGGAGGCCATTATGCTTTGAATGAGATCCTTTGCTGAATGTTGTCTTCAGGCCTTGGTTGCCTTTTGGACTAATACTTAAAAATATGGAGATAGTTAAAAAAATATTACTCTGCTTTCTTTACTAACTATACAAACAGAAACAGGAGCTCCATAGCTTCAGATAGGTTGGGCTTTAAACCACTAAGAGAAGCAGCAGAGAAGAAAAGTTGAGTCTTGGTTTAGAGTTTTGAGTCTACTTTGCACTCTAACAAATGTTTGAAATTCTTAATAACTGTGTATACAACATTTAAAAACCAAAGGGCCTGATCCTGCAGCCCTTATTTCTCAGAAGGCAACAGATGCCAATACTCAGCAAGGTGGCCTTTTTCTTTTAAAAAGGTCTATAAACAGGACATGAAGCACAAATTTGCGGGCAGCACTGCATGACAATTAAAAAAAGATAATTTCCAAATCTGCAAAAACTTAAGCATGTACTCAAGCTATACATACAAAGTGAAGAAGTTACCAATGTCAGTGTGTCTTCAGACTGCAAATTACGTCTAATGGCTTACTGTAGATGCACAGCAAACTCATCTTTTCTTGATAAATAAAGAAACTGCTGATCAGCACAGTGAGGCAAGGTATCTAAATCAAGGTGAATGGCCAAGCAAGTGCAGAGGTATTCTTATGCAGAATTTATTTTCTTTGCTTTAATAGCAGCTTCAATGTCTTCCATGATTGGCACCGGCCCTGCATAGTTATTAGTTTCAATAGCTTCTAATTTCTTCTGATAGTCAGTTGGCAAGCCATTCTGTTTTGCACCCATGCAGATAACCTATAATCAAAAGTGGGGGGTGGGGTGGGGGGGAAGAAAAAAAGCCTTCAATAATAGTGTTAGGAAGGACAGACCCCTCCAAACATTTACTTGTACAGGAAGAACCACTTAAGGTGACAAGAGAATTAATCCCAAATAATGTTATCTGTACCTAAAGATAGCCAAAGGCTTCTGGAAGACCACTGAAGACCTTAATAGTGTCAACAAAATTACTCTGAAAAGGCACGTAACTACCAAGACATACCCTAAGATTCTGAAATGTTACTAACGTGCACAAGACTGTACAATTAAGCTGTTACTCAGTTATTCCATTCTTTCTTCCAGCAAGGATGAGAACTACTTTTTATGCCTTTAGCCAGCCTTAGTATCACATCTGAGTGAGAAGCAGTGTATATTATTGAAGTTATTTTTAAAACTAAGCTGTTCTGTTACTAATGTGCACAAGACTGTACAATGAAGCTGTTACTCAGTTATTCCATTTCTTCCAGCAAGGATGAGAACTACTTTTTATGCCTTTAGCCAGCCTTAGTATCACATCTGAGTGAGAAGCAGTGTATATTATTGAAGTTATTTTTAAAACTAAGCTGTTCAAATCCAAAGCACAACAGTGAGTACCTAGACAGGTTATAGGAGTAACAGAAACTTAGCTCAGTGAAAAAGCACAGATTCCTTAGAGTTTATTACTGCAGCTTTCCTTCTACATACAAAATAAACGTAAGTATTGGTGCAAGAGAAAAGAAGTGACAGTGAGAGGAAAAGAGGAGGCTGTAGGAGCCAAGGCTTGAAAGAGACACCAGCAAGCTCCCACATAGAAATGAATAGCTAAATACGCAGATTTTAAAAGCTGACACTATTGTAAATATTCTTTCATGCATTCAACAGCCAGGAAATTCAAGGATGAGGTGTCTAGAGAGGTGAACTTTGCCACAAAAAGTACACAACATTAGATGGATGTAGATCACTGTGTGCTGATGCAGTCACCTGTACTAAATTTTTAGCCCTCCTGCCTGGTTAACTTAAACAAAAGCTGGGGGCAGGGGTGAAGAAGAGAAGTAACACCTGACCCTGACAACAGCAGGAGGGAATGTTTAGCTAGATAAAGTTGCCAATGTTGGAGGTCTGCTCTTACAGCATACTGGTGAGAGCTGACACACAGCAGCAGGCTATGTATTAACTCCCTGAAAAGCTCTAAATATCTGTCTTGACAGGAAGCGGATTGGCAGGGAGGAGGTTTGTGAAGTAGCAGAGCCTGCTTTCTAAGCAAGCTTTCTCTTCAGAAGTCCTGCAGCAGCTGGCCTTAGCTGTGCTCCTGGAAGCTGATTCATAGGAGCAAGTTCCTCAGTTAAGAGAAGGCGGCACACTTGGGATTTAACAAGCCCAAGCCCTGTTTCTTTGCTTTCGGTAGAAAAAGTCAACGTGTTACAGTGATGTCTATCTGCAATTGCTAATAGCTGCACAATTCCAGACATGCAGTCATGCCACCCGAGGCTAGGCCTGCATCAGATCCCACAAGCTAAGCAGGTCAGGCCTGCTGCGTGACTGGATCATGTGTCTCTATAGAGTCAGTGTGTTGCAGAACAGTGTTGAAACACTTTTCTGCCTTGCCAGCCATCAAGTGGGAACCCTGCAGTGCTCTGTAATGTTGCTGGAAGTTCTGTGATATACTGATGACGCATCTGGTAAAAGGAGGCAGGTGGACTCCTGTATTAAACGATAGTAAGATACTTCATAAGACAATAGGGATAATCCATGTCCTTGAGACTACAAGCCAGGTGCTGTATTCTCCCCACAGAAGCTTCCCTCTGTCCTTTTAGTGGAGTACATTAATTTTTCAGAGAATTGCTGCATATAGGTAAACAACATCCTTCAGAAATCCTTGTGTCAGTCATAACTAATTCACAAGTTAAATAGAGGCTTCACGTAAGACATAACTGAGCCAAAAAATAAAACTGATTTAGTAGGCCTTTAAGAATGAGCAGTCTTCTGTGAGCGTCATTGTACTATTACATTGCACAAGGATTAAGTTATACCTTTAGAGTTACTCCTGCCTTCCATTCACTGTAAATAAAGTACTTGTTAAATAGGACAGAAATACTGCATTATATATTTCTGTTCATTCTTTCCAAAATTACAGTGATGCAACACCTACCTTTTTATACTGAGGAGAAGGGGGACCACAGACATAGTCCTTCATCTGGTAGCTTCGACAGGTCAGTACCTTTCCAACTTGAGTGTGGACATTAACTTCTACTGGGACATAAATGCCATCTTCAACTCCCTCTTGTCTGTAAAGGACATATATTCCTTTCATGCCAAATAACTGATGCATCTTTCAAACAAACTGTGCAATTAAACATAGGCATTTATTACAACAGAATTCAAGGCAGGACACTGGTCTGCACTGTTAACAGACTTAAAGAAAAACAATGCAAAACATATTCCAGTACTTTTTGGTGCAAACTTGTTTCATATCCAAAAATAAGCTTCTAAAGAAGCAGCAGCATTCACTTTTATCATTTCAGCTCTGTAAGAAAGATGACTGGTGGTTAACTTGCAAAGTTAGAGAGAGAATACTCCTTGTGAATTAATTACTGTGCAAGTCTGGTAATCTACAAGAGAAACACAACCAAGATTATCAGAATTAATGAGCCAGGCACTTATCATTCATTACCTTCTGCTCAGATAATGAAACAATTGGCAAAGTTTTATCTTGCTCATTGTGTTACATTTGAATAAGAGGAAACTCGCACAACTCTTGCAATGCATGTTCCAATGAATAATCCAAGACACCCTTTAATTTGCACAAGACATGTACAGCAGCAATGAGCTAGATCAGGGTAAAAACCATTTTGTTATTTTTCTATTAGCAAAATCATGCTGTCTTAGGAAAACAAAACCAAACTCAAAAACAAGGCTACTTGTTGTCTTTAACCATTAGCATTTAGCCATCAATAAGTCTGAGGAAATAGTAAGAAGTAAATGAGAAGCTTAAGCAATACAAGACAGACTTTATAGCACAATTAACTTTGGATGTACTTTAGATACATGTGATAACATGGGTTTCAATGCTGCTCATCAAAATATCATTTTGACAACTTATCTTTCTTTCAACGACTTACTACCATTTCAAGTTATTTAACATACATAACACAGGCCATGTTATGTGAGTAACTAGGTTAAGTGCAAGTAGAGACTGGAAGCTAAGTGCAGATTCAAGGCCAACAGACTGCAAAATAAGTCACGTGGGTGTGTGAGAGCAAGAAAAATGTTAAGTAGCATCCATTGCTAGGATATATGAGGAAAAGTCATGATTTAGTCTATAACTTACAGATTTGTGACGTACAGAGGACAAAGAAAAAACCTGACCATGAGTCAGCACCAAAATGCATTTGAAGCCAAAAAGTTCAGCCACCTAAGCAAAAGATTCCCCTCCCATATTTGTTTTCTATGTATTATGCTGTTTTACTAGTATTTCAACTAACGACACGCAGCATCAGTTACACATTCCCTCCTCTACTTCTGGATAACCAAGCACAGACTTTATCCAGATTGCGGGGGGTGGGTGGTGGGGTGCAAATAGTGAAAATTTTTTTTTCTTGATACATGGAAATTTCAGGAAATAACTTGGTTGAGAACTTACAAATATATCTGCTTGCGCACAGCCAAAGAATCCCAAGATCTTTAGCAGGAACACATGCAAGCTCTTTCGAGTTGGTTAGGCGCAATCCTTAGAAGAACACTATTGACTATCGTTATAAAAGCCAAGAACACATCTTGTTTCCTTCCATTTCCAGTCCACCTTCATGGCATCAATGAGGCAGCTGGGAAGAAGCAATCTTTAATGCTAGTATCCGTCCTGCAGTTTTTGGTGACGGTATAGCTCTCAAGCCTCTAGCATCTTAGCCAGCATTAAAGTTTATCCCTGTCAAACAAATGCCAGGGATCTGCTATTCTATAGCATGTAAACAACACTTTAGAAGTTAAAATACAAAACGCTGTCCCCATAGGGAGAACACAGTGTTACTATCAAAGCAGATGCTGCCAGACAGCATCTTTATACTTCTGAAGTTTATGCTTTAGGAAAGCATGGTAAATCAGGAGATTTCAGTAAAGGTCAGCAGAAAGGGGACCAGGAGGTAAGTGTTAATGTAAGCAACAGAGGGGGAACTGAGGAGATAATAAAGCAGGGACATGTGAAGCTCTCTCCAACCAGAAGCATGCCGGCTAGATGCCCTCCTGCTTGGGGCTAACACTCCCAACCAGGACTTAAGAGTGCCCATTCCCATGATGTGCTAACAGAACTTGGACAACAGTTTATTGTATTTCAGGTTCACTGTAGGCAATGAAAAGCAAGTTGGAACTTCAAGTTTCATCGCCAAGGTTAGACGGACATGTCTACACAGCATAGTGCAGCCATAACGAAAATTGCAACAGTACCAGAGGCAGGAGAACTCTATTAATGTAATGCTTTCAATGGGTTTAATATGCCCTGCTTCCTTAGCCTCACTAGCCCAGATTTCTACTGGAATTAATTGACAGTGATGAACTGCTCTGAACAAATGATCCTTGTGTACCAGCAGCACCATGCTGTGCAGGCGCATCCCAAAAGCTGCAATAAACACGTAACACCAGCCAAAGTTTTGGAGATTAAGTTCTAAGTCCTGCCTTAGACCCGGCAAGAAGTTATGCTACTTCTTGATTTATTTACCCAGGTGGTCCTCCAGACTTCAGCCTGGGAATGACCTGCTCAGGTTGCCTTAAACTTGTCTTAATTATCAGGCACAGGCAGGACATTCTCCATCATGCATTGTAATGGTGCAGGCAGCCTCTCCCATTCAAAGGGAAAAACAAAACAACCCCAGCTCCCTGCTTGGATCTACCTCAAGTTCACAAAAGTTTGAATCCTTAGAAGAGAAGACATGCAAAATAACCTCCTCAAAAGGTCCCTTTGCCTGTATTAAAGATCTCCTTCTCCTCTGCAAAGTCTTGTCCTCATCCCTTCCTTTTCCAATACAATTGGAGTCTACAAATGTATAGGGACAGAAACTGATGTCAGTCTCAAAGGAAACTCTCCCTAAAGCAATGGAAGAAGTGTCACAGGACAAATACAGAGTCTAGTCATTTAAGGGACAGGACATTGTAAGGACAGGGATTAAAAAACAAAGGAGCCTGACCAATGTATCAGCTCCAAATCAAGGCCCATACCTTATTAAAATACCCCTAAGTAGCTTTAGCTTGAAAACAAAGCCATTTTAATCACAAATGTGTTAGAAGTCGATACATGTACTGTGAAGTGAGATTCACATATTAAAATCCAAAGCATCTTCTTGACTCCAACACCAAAGCTTCCACACAGCTCTTTACCAGAAATTAACTACTACTTTTCAATTGCTCTCTAAAATAGTAGAAGACAGCAAAAGTTAAGTCACCTACTTATCCAGTGAACTTAAATTGCTAGTGTTCATTTTCCACACTATTCCCCATACTTCATCTCCAGGGCTCTGACCAATGGTGGCTGTACCTCCACGCCAGACAGAACTTGTCCTGCCTTGATGATGGCCAAACTCGAGCTTAAAATCCTGCAAACGAAACCAATGCAGAGAATCAATTTCCACTTAAGATAAGGGCTGTTGGCTATTCTTGATGTGAAAGGGGTAGCTAAAGGAGAGTCTACAAGTAGTCAGTTGGAGCCACAGAAGGAGGAACGGACAGGCGGGATCTGATCCAGCTCCCATCTCACGAGGGGCTGAAGTCAGCCTTTGCCACCTCCCCATGAGAAACGGCAGCCTTGGGACAAAGGGAAGAGAAGTCTGGCAGATAGCACTACCGATAAAAGTCTTGGTCTGCAGAGACCTGGATCAACATCCAAATCTCTTAGTAGTCTGGCCTAAACATTAGCTAACAATTTCTAGCAGTGAGAAGAAAGCGGAGGTAGCCCTTTATCAAGAGTAGCACAGGTACCCAATTCTGCAGTAAACACAGTAGCGCTGAAGAAATGTCAGCTTGACTTTTGCCCAAGTTGGCAGTGACAGGATTGCTGATGTGCTTCCCGTTAGACAATCTGAAGGGCTCTTGCCTGAGGTGTACCATGAAGGAGGGAACTGATTACTGCCGCCTTCTCGTTCCTCAAAAGACATGCCTACTTGATGCCCATTCCTTTGCAGCTTTTGGTGCTGTTGTAAGACTTAAATGCTACCATGCAGGGTCCAGGAAAATAATAAGGGTAAAGAAGCCTACAAGAAGGTGAGCTTTGGGTCTTGTCCTCATGCACAAATACAACTGCCCAATTATAAAATACCATCCTGTGTATTTTCCGGTGTTTTGTGCCATCTTGTCACTCAACTGGAACATTCTTGGGTATTTTTACGCCAAGGCGTATGCCTCCTTGAATGAGCTTATTCAGGTTTTCGCAAGTTGAAACATTCTTTTAGAAATCAAGTATCTCTTTTTCTTACAAGTAGTATCAAATATTACCATATAGGCAAAAGAGAATAACAGGTTCTTGCATGTTTCCAGTGTAATTTCCCATCTGATTCCATACACTCAGTTTCCTCTCCTACTTGTTAGCCAATTTGTGGATCCTTCCCTAGCGGTAGGGAAGGGGAAGAAAAAAAAACCAACCCAACTTTACGGAAGACTACCTGCTTAAAAAACAACAACAAAATCTGGCAAAGGCAGAAAGGATTAAAAGCAACAACAAAAATAAACCCCAAACCTATACAACCCCACAGCTTTGCATATTTCTCATGATCACCCTCTTTAAGCTATAATTTTCATTTGGAATATATGCGTGTGCATATTAATATTCACTTTCTGAGACACATTACCTTCTTGTAACGCATCCTAACAGATATGGGGAAAAGGTTGCAGAAGTTGAGCAGTTGGAGGCTTACGCACAGAACAACAGCACTGATCAGAACACTAATCTAACTGGGGTTTTTTTGTGTAGGTGATAATCAGCAGCCTGGCAAAGCCACACTGTTTACTCCATCGATAGAGTCATCTTTTCTCCCCATAAAACATCCCCCATTAAACTAATTTCACTAGAAAAAAGTTTACTTAGACACACTAGTCATCAACCATTCGATAAGCTGCTGCAAAATGGCTTTGCAGTGTTCGGGTCACTGGATTACTGTGTGAGGAGGACTCTGGACTAGACCCTGCAGACAGTCAAGCCCGAGTAATTTGCACACAAGTAAATAGCCCAGTTGAGTCGCAAACTGAAGTTATAGATGTGGACAAGTGCTTGCCGGGCAGCCCCAAGGAAATACTCCCGTAGGGCCAAGTATGCTCACAGCAGTCTAGTGTAAAAAAAAAAGCAAAAAAAAAAGCACCAATTTTTATTTTATTCCCCCAGTTATATTTTCTTGGACCTGACCTGCACTGAATACCTGCAAGGAGGTGAATAAAACAGTCAGATACCACCCAAGAAGGGCAACAGAGACTGCACAGCAGTAGCGTGGTTAGCTCGGGTTCCGGCAGCAGGAAACCCTACGTTACGCTGTGCGGGCAACTGCAGGGAAGAGGCAACAAACGCACTAGATACTTTCTTGGGTCAAGAGCTTGGTCTTTGGCCCTTCTTCTAAGTACCAGTGTAATACCCTTTCTGTGCTTGTTACACATCCCATTTCTTACAGCTTTTGGTTGAAGATTAACAACGCTTTAAAAAATAACAACAGAGGGAAGTGAATTTAATATTCTAGCTTAGCATCCAAAGTACTCTGTTTACAGGCTGTTTTTCCTTTTTTTGAGCCAATGTGGTACTACCATAGAGCAATTAACAGAAACCAGCTCCAACCTTTGTGCGCTTCCTCACTCCCAAGTATCGGTGATTTTCCAGCTTGAAGCAAGGGAGCGAAGCCACCCGGTGTTAGCAGGGAGCATAGCAATCTGTCAAGGGCTGGCCAGAAAAGCTAGCGCCTGACTGCCAGCTCTTCAACAGCTAACCTGCAGCGCGGCAAGGGACGCTCACTGTGTAACCCGAAAATCTACCTGGTACCCAAAAGGAGAGCTGAAGCATAGGGCCTTCTTTTATTCAAAGGTAAGCGCGCAACGCTGCTGCTTTCCTCCTTACGTCCCAGGTCTGACCCTGCAAGGTGCTGGGCTCTCAGCGCGTTCAGCTCCTCAGCGGTACCTGTAAGCGCCTCACACTTTACAGGAGCAGGCCTCAGTCGCGAGGCTGATGGTCCCAAGAGACACCAAGTATCTGACTATAGGGAGTTTATTAATTACAAGTTTTTGGAACTTCTTCACACACTCTCACGTAGATCGTTTCCTGCCAGTTACCCCAAGAGAACCTTCAAGTTGTCCTTAAGTGGTATCAGTCAACGCTCTGCTCCTCCAAGGATCCTTCCAGCTGGGCAGATCTGTACGTCAACAGCTTAATGACCATGAGCTCATACTTCCAAGTCTACATTAAAGCCAAGTTGATATACTAACATTTAATAACCCCAGGTGGGGGCAGAACCGCCAGGGCCTAGGAAGGTGTCAGCTGCAGTTGTGCGGTACAGGGTGAAAGCTTGCATCCCGCCTGACACACAGCACGGGGAGGGCTCCTTGCCCCGTTGACAACAACAGCGTGGCAGAGGGGAAGGAGGCATTCTGATTTTTTTTAACGAAGCATCATCCTTTTAGAACAGCCAGAAACTTGTCCCGTAAACCCAGCTGAGCACCTCCTACTTATGTTTTCAGGTTCATAACTCTGTACGCGTGGGGTCTTGGCGGACAGCCTTGCGCTTTTGGTTAAGCCCAGCAGGAGAAAACCCACGGAGGTGCGACTAACGCAAGCGCTTTCTTCGGCCGAGGGCAGC